TCTCATCACCAACTGCCTCTCTGGCACTGATTCTCATCACCACCTCGCTCTCTGTCACCAAGCCTCTCACCACCACCTGACCCCCGCAGCACCAAGGCCCCACAAAAATTGCCTACCTCACAGGTTATCGAAATTCGCTCCGCGACCGCGATGTCTTCCTTGTTGATGCGCCTCTTGTTCACGCCGGTGTAGGAGGCGAACTGTATCCGGGGGGGGGGGGATGCATTGCGCCTAGGCTTTTTGTATCCCCCTCCGGCCGGCCGAGGGGATACTCCTCGCCTAGGCTCTTTGTATCCGGGGGGGGATGCATTGCGCCTAGGCGACGTGCATCCTCCTCCGGCCGGCGGGGGATACAATAAGCCTAGGCAAAATGTACCCCGGGGTACATTTCGCCTAGCCGCATTGTACCCGGGGTACAATTCGCCTGGCACCTAGGCGCTTTGTACCCCTGGGTACATTGAACCTAGTCGTCATGTACCCCAGGGTACTTTGGCCCTAGGCGTTGTGCACCCGGGGGTACTCTGCGCCGACGGGTACAGTTCGCCTCCTACACCGGCGGCGTCGACGTGTGTGTGTGTGTGTGTGTGTGTGTGTGTGTGTGTGTGGTGTGTGTGTGTGTGTGTGTGTGTGTGTGTGTGTGTGGCGAATTTAACGAGACTTGGCCGCGGACCGCCGCGCGCCGCCGTGGCTGCCGCGACCGAGGAGGGTTACGTCGCGGAGCTCTGATTGCATCAGGGAGCCAGGCCGCGAGGCGGGCGGACAGCCACCGGACGGACGGACGGACAGCGGTATCCCACTTGTTGAAAATCACGACCGTGCGGCGCGGCGGCTCGGCCCGGTGCACTACTTCCAGGCCGCATATTTAATTCGCCCCGTTGCCTCAGCCAGCAGCGCGCCGAGCGCGGCGGCGGCGTGCAGCAGACTGATTCCCCGAGGGTCGTTCTCGTCGCTCTGTCTCTCTCGCACTCACGGGGCGTCCCGTGCGGGTGCGAGCGAGACAGAGCGCCGAGAACGACTCTCGGAATCGGTCTGCTGGCGCGGGGGATTGCTGTGGTTATTATATATATCGGCGAGGCGGTTGGGTGACCTTCGCGGACGGCGCGGCCGACGGCCTGCCGTCGTGGAGAAAGGCGTGCAGGTGAGTGACACCGCCGCACCGCCGCACCGCCACCGCACTGCGCGCCAAGGAGTGCGGAGGACGCCGTCGAGGACTTCCCTTCGCCTGCTCGGCCTGGCCGGCCGTCGCTCTGTCTCTCTCGCACTCATGGAGCGACCCGTGCGCGTGCGAGAGGGACAGAGCGACGACGACGACGACTCTGCTGGCGCGCTGCCCTTCTGCGTCGCGTCCGCCGCGTCGCCGCTTCCGCCTGCAACCTGCTGCCGTCTTTGGCCCGAGGCTGCTCTCTCTCTCTCTCTCTCTCTCTCTCTCTCTCTCTCTCTCTCTCTCTCTCTCTCTCTCTCTCTCCTCTATCTCTCTCTCGCACTCACGCGGCGCCCCGCATCGGTGCGCAGGAGCGAGAGAGACAGACCGACGGTGCCGTGCCATGCTGGACCCGCTGCGTGCTGCCTGCGTGCAGGCTAGGAGGCTGGGCGGGCAAGTGTAGGAGAACTAGCAGAACTAGCAGAACTAGCCCAGTCGCGCACTGCATTTAGTTTCTGGTCGGGCCGCTGCCGCGTGCTGCCGCGCTACCGTCGCCGGCCGCGGCGCAACGCAGAGTGATGCCGGACGGGGTTTCTTGGTTTCTGGGTTTCTTCAGCACCGCGCGCGTACAGATTCACTTTCAGATTCGGACTGGCAGATTTATGCTGCTGCCGGGTGTAGTGTTCCAGTGTGCGGCCCGCGGTGCAACGACCCGTCACGCAGTCCATCACCCTGGCCGTCCCGGCCGTCCCAAAGACGTGGACGCGCGGAGTGAGGAAGTGTGGGGCTGTGTGTGGACCCGCCGTGACAGCGTTTCCGCGAGCGTTACTCGCTGACTTTGTAACGCAATACGGGCTTCGGGCTCCGGGCTTCCAGATTTTATCGGCCGCGACCCACTTCGGCCCGCTCATTTCAACACCACACACACACACACGACCAGAGCCGTCCCGTCCGACTCCATCAACTGCTGCCTGCAACTGGCTTGGTCCTGCTTCCTCCGGAAACAATCTAGCGGGGCGGGGCGTGGCGGGGCGTGGTGGGGCGGCCGGTAGGTGCGGGCAGCCCCCGCCCCGCCCCTAACCCCCACGGTGCAGAACCGGCAACCGGCCGCGTCGTGAGCGTGAGCAAACCCTATCCCACCGGGCGTGCCGCGCCGTGCCGCGCCTCCAGCGGCCCTAGCTCCGTTGCATCATGCCGCGCCCTGTGATCGACACGCCTCGCACTCCTGGAGCCTGGACTATCCTGGAGCCTGGACTATCCTGGAGCCTGGACTGTCCTGGAGCCTGGACTATCCTGGAGCCTGGACTATCCTGGAGCCTGGACTATCCTGGAGCCTGGACTATCCTGGAGCCTGGACTGTCCTGGAGCCTGGACTATCCTGGAGCCTGGACTATCCTGGAGGATGGACCATCCTGGAGCCTGGACTATCCTGGAGCATGGACTATCCTGGAGCCTGGACTATCCTGGAGCATGGACTATCCTGGAGCATGGACTATCCTGGAGCATGGACTATCCTGGAGCCTGGACTCCTGCACCTCGTGCACAACTGCGGCCTTCATCAGCACGAAAAAAGGCAGTGAAACCTGCGGGCGCTGCGCCGTCCTGTTCCTGTTGGCGTGGCGGCGTGGCGGCAGTTCCTCCGGGACTCCTCACTCCTCACGCGCGTCGCCAGCAGCGAGACTGGCACTGGGATCAGGCCAATGAGGCGTTCTTGTCTTCCTCGACGCCCTCCGGCCCTGCGGCCCTGTGGCCCTGCGCGTGCGTCCTCCAAGCCCTCGCATTACCCGTCAAAAGGAGCGCCTGCTTGTCGTCGGCGGGGCGGGGCGGGGCGGGGCGGGGCGGGGCGAGGCGGGGCGGGGCGAGGCGGGGCGGGGCGGGGCGGGCGGGGCGGGGCGGCGGGGCGGGCGGGCGGGCGGGGCGGGGGGGGCGGGCGGGGCGGGGCGGGGTGGACCTTGTAATCACCACTACCTCAACGCGGCGATCCGCGTGGCGGTGCCGGCAGTGCTGGGTGGTCCGGGGAGGGAAGGCTGTGGCATTTATATGAGGAGACGCAGTGAGACGCACCCACAAGGGTCGACGCCGTGCCGTGCCACGCCACGCCGTGCCGGTGTCACGCGGAACCTCCCAAGACGAGACACGCAGGGCCGCCGCCGTGCTGCCGTGCAAACGCTCTAACCATCGAGTTGCGGTCGGCCTGTCGGGCTTCGCGACGGGCCTCGCCTGGGAGGCAGGCAACCCAACCGCCGCGGCGCTGAGCCTGGAAGGCGGGACTCAGGGCGCGTGACGGGCCCACAGCGCACATTGGGCCGGAAGACCGATGGAGGCGGCCAAAATTCTTGACGCGTTTTGAGCTCCAGAGTCGCTAAATGGGACTCGAACCGAACGTGTGACCCCACCAATGGATTCCTATCGTTCGGAGCGGAGAGCAATCTGTTGGTGGGGTCACACATTCGGTTCCAGTACCATTCAGCTAAGGGGTACCCAACTCAAGATAATCATTGCACGTCTAGTTGGTAATCAGTGAAATAATCAACATCATCCAATGAAATGACAATCATACTTTCGGAGATTCAATCACTTTTGACCATTTTTGCGAGACAACTGCTCCCAAACTATCAGCGGTCAAAGCCTTCCCGAGGCGGGGCATGAAAGAGTAGGGTCTTCAGAATAGTAAGGCGTCGAGGAAGGTCTTTGACCGCAACTAAATTGGATGCAGTGACCGCTCAAAGTCAGCAAAAACGGTGATTTTATGAAATTCATTCACTTTTTGACCATTTTTGCGAGACCACTGCTCTTAAACTATCAGCGGTCAAAGCCTTCCCGAGGCGGGGCATGAAAGAGTAGGGTCTTCAGAATAGTAAGGCGTCGAGGAAGGTCTTTGACCGCAACTAAATTGGATGCAGTGACCGCTCAAAGTCAGCAAAAACGGTAATTTTCTGAAATTCATTCACTGTGTCTACTTTTGCGAGACCACTGCTCCCAAATTATCAGCGGTCAAAGCCTTCCCGAGGCAGGGCATGAAAGAGCAGGGTCTTCAGAATAGCAAGGCGTCGAGGAAGGTCTTTGACCACAACTAAATTTGACGCAGTGGCTGCCCAAAGTCACCAATATTGAATTTCCGACACTTTAAGAGCTTTCCGAGGTCAGCGCTCAAATAATCCCCAATATTTCCCAATAATCAACATAATGACCTCCTATAATCAGTGATAAATAATAAAATAATCAAAAGAAATCACATGTAATCATACTCTAAATATAATCAGTGTACATGAAAATCTGTAGTTGGTTACCCCTTGCATTCAGCGACTGTGGAGCTCAAAATGCTTCCGGGATTTTGACCGCCTCCAACGGTCTTCTGTCCCAATGTGGAGCGTATCCGCCGTCACCCCCTTGTCACGACGCAGATCCAGATTTTTCAATTCACACCAACCGTTTTTCAGTTCACACCAACAGCTGAAACGATTTCTTTCGCAGGCTGCTAGGTCTCCGTTTATTTGCGTAACCATGACCACTTCTTTGTAGAGCTGGAGTTGCGGGAATTTGACTTCTAGTATTTCCGCTAAACGCCCAGTCGCCCCAGGCCGCCCCAAGCCTTTGACATCGGCTGCCGCGGCGACATAGGCTCATTCCAAACAGTGCTGTCTCCCTCGCCTCCTTTCGGGCCGGCCCATGAGTGCGAGAGAGACAGGACGAGAGCGCTGTCCGGAATGGGCCTCGGCCCGCAGCCGGCGGCGCACTCCATTGGCGCGTCGCTGCGCGTTGCCCCGGTCTGCCCCCTGCACTTGATTGCTGTGTTTGCGTCTGGCGTTGGACCACGGCGTCGCCGTCGCCTCAGTCCGCGCCGGGCGTGTCAGGCGCCATGAGCGGCGCCCGCGGCCGAGTCGAGGACGCCGTCGAGGACGCCGTCGAGGACGCCGTCGAGGCCGTGCTGCTGGAGGTGATCCTGGACGAGCCGAGCGCCAAGGCGGCGCCGAGCGCCGGCGCGCCCCTTGGTGCTGTGGTGTCCGGGCCCGGCCCCGGCCCCAGCAAGATGGTCCACGACTACCCCGTCGTGTGCCCCGAGCCCGTGCCGGCGCGCCCGAAGTGCCACCGCCACATCGACACCGTGTTCGTGGTGGCGGTGCTCGTCGCCATGCTCATCCTCGTCATCGCGGAGTGCGTGTCCAACAAGCGTTTCTCCTGGTGCGTGTGCATGCCCGTCGAACCTTACCCTGCTCGCCGCCATGCCGCCGACGCACAGTGGGCCAGAAGACCGGTGGAGGGCCAAAACTCTAGACGCGTTTTGATCTCCAGAGTCGCTAAATGGTACTAGAACCGAACATGTGACCCCACCAATGGATTCCTCGTTCGGAGAGCAATCCATTGGTGGGGTCACACGTTCGGTTCGAGGCCTGTTTAGCGACTCTGGAGCTCAAAACGCGTCTAGAGTTTTGTCCGCCTCCACCGGTCTTCTGGCCCACTGTCCGACGCCGGCAACGGCCAGCCAGAAATGGGTTCTTGACGTCGATTTTCGCTTCCCGCCGATTTTGGAGGCGAAGACAACATGGCGCCGCCATGCGCGTCCGACCCATTTCTGGCTGCTCCGGGGGCGAGACAGCGCACGATGACGCGTAACTGCCGGATTTCGCGAGGCCCGCCGGCCGCCTCCGTCAGGCCTTCCAGCACACTGATTCCGAGAGTCGTTTTCGTCGCTCTGTCTCTCTCGCACTCATTGGGGTGTTAGGTGGGAGGGAGGCAAAGCGACGAAAACGACTCTCGGAATCAGTGTGGAGGTCCACTAATCTGGTCTCGTTTGTGGGTTGCAGAGCGCGGTGGCCAGGGTGCGCCCTCGGGTGCGCCAGTGCGTCGACCGCCTTCCCAACGCCCTGCCGACGACAACCGCAGCCAAATCGAACGTTACTCCCTTGCGTGTGAATTCTTATTTATTTTTACTATTAAACCTGTGTACTGTGCTCCGTTTTTTCTCGCTCTTTGTGGTGAAAACCCCTGCGAACTCCGCATAGGCCACCCGCACAGGACGCTTGTCGGCGGCCGCTGTCCATTGCCTACCTCACAGGCGCGAAGCGCGCGAAGCAGCCGGAGTTCCCTCTGCACGTTGCTGGGCAGACGCAGATCCACGGAGAGGGGGTGCCCAGTGGGTCAGAAGACCGGTGGAGGCGGCCAAAACCCCGCACGCATTTTGCGCTTCCAGAGTCGCTAAATGGGACTTATATCGGACATGTGACCCCACCAACGGATAGCTCTCCGAACGAGGAATCCATTGGTGAGGTCACACGCTTGTTTCGAGTCCTGCTTAGCGACTCTGGAGCTCAAAACGCGTCTAGTGTTTTGGCCGGCGGCGGCCGGTCTTCTGGCCCGCAACCCCCTCCCCTCCCCCTCCCTCTGGATCCGCCCTGGCGGCGATTGTGATCGGCCTGGGCGGCTCAAGTCAATGAGACGGAATCAAGGCCGAGCGGGCGGAGCGCGGCGAGCAGCGGCGAGCCTCCCGAACCGTCACTTGTCTGCACACTGAGTCCGAGAGTCGTCGCTCTGTCTCTCTCGCTCCCATGGGGCCTCCCGTATAGGTGCGAGAGAGACAGAGTGACAACGACTCTCAGTCCGCTGGGACCGTTTCAATTCATTCGAGGGGGCATTGCACGTCACCACATCACTGGTCGCTTTACAGACAAAAACAAAGTCGCAGCAGAAGTCCAGAAAGTTTATTATTTTCTATCTCGATTACATGGAAAGGGGGTTCAAGCTGGGAACGGAATGTAAAACTTTGCTGAATTAGATTGAAAGAAGCCCGATTCAATAAATAAATGTAGTTTGACGGGAGAGTTTGCTGCGGAGGGGGTTACATAACAAAAGGGTTCAACCAAAAGGGTGTCTTGTTTTATAACAAAATATCCTAAAATAAACTCACAAGTGGGTGCGCGCTTGCGCAAACGTTATCCTAGTATATTCAAAATTATCACAAAAGTAAACGTAAAAATATGAAATGCTTCGCAACCGTCGTAGAGAAAAAACAAAATCAGAGAAACATTACGAAATGAAGCGCCAGTCGGGAACTGGTGGTTTTCTGGCCGTGTATAGAAACTACAATAAAAATTAAAACAATTCTGCAAATCCTGCCAACTTAGTACGCATCCGCAGGTGTATACTGTGTGCGCGTGTGTGTGTGCGTGTGAACTATTTACACAGATGTACGCATATTTGAGCAGAGCGGGATTGGTCAAGTACACACCTACAGGTGCGTGCCTCTAGGTACATCTGTGGGTGTGAAATATAGTTTGAAATTTGATCTAAATAGAAATCGCATTGTACAAAGTCCAAGTGCTCGGTCGCTTGAAGTTTTCCCGACAGTGTCTTTTCTTGGTTCGTAACAGAACGTTCTACCGATTGAGAGTTAAAGTGGAGCGCCCAGCATCCCATAATAGACTAGCATAGCTGTTCCCGTGACTAACTCCCCGCCGGAGCCAAGTTCGTGGTGCTCTTGGTGCCTTGTGGCCCACAGTGGGCCAGAAGACTGTTGGAGGCGGCCAAAACTCGCGTTTTGAGCTCCAGAGTCGCTTAATGGGACTCGAACCGAGCGTGTGACTCCACCAATGGAAGCCTTGTTCGGAGAGCAATCTATTGGCAGGGTCACACGTTCACTTCGAGCCCCGTTTAGCGACTCTGGAGCTCAAAACGCGTCTGGGAACCAGTGTTCTGGCCCTGGCCCTGGCCTCCACTCGGCGGGGCGAAACCCCGCGCTCAAAAACTCCGGGTCGCGGACCGCGGGTGCGAAACCCTGAACCCGGTGGCGCGAACCTCAAACCGTGACGTCACCGGCCGGCTCAGTGGCTGTTGGTGACGATGCACAGGAAGATGTACCAGCCGATGACCCCCGCGACGACGGACAGCGCCAGGCTGACGGGCCCCGAGGCCAGGCTGGCGGGCGTCGGCGGCGGCGCGGCGGGCTGGGGCCTTGCGGGGCGGCGGCGCCCGGCGGCGGCGCGTGGGGCGTCGGCGTGCTCACGATGGGGTTGGGGATCAGGTCCTCCACGTTGTGGTCCAGCTCCTGCTCCTGCCACGACGGGATCGGAGGGTTGGCCGCCAGCAGCGACCGAACGCGCTCCCAGGACCCGTTGTTGGCGTGCGCGGGGATGCGCAGGAGGTGGCAGAACACCTGGTACTCGTCCACCAGCTCGATGGGGCCAGTCTTGTGGTTTCTCGCAAAGTCTTTGAGAAATTAAAACAAAAATAAACGAAATTGAGAACGATTTAAAAGGGGGAGCCACTTGCTATCCACTGTCTTCCTCACCAGGGCCGACGGCGAAGAAGACGGTCCGCATGTCCTCGACGTCGGGCTGGTAGCCGTGGATGCCGTGCGGCCTCGGCGTCGTCTCGTCCTTGACGTGCAGTCCGCGGATCAGGTATCCTGGAAGCAGGGACTCCGTGAGGCTGTGCCCTGACTTGGCCCTGCCAGCCTGCCCCGGTGCAGCGCCTCTTTGTCGGCCGGTGTCTGCAAACACACTGATTCCGAGAGTCGTTTTCGTCGCTCTGTCTCTCTCGCGCCAAAACGGGACGCGCCGAGTGCGAGAGAGGCAGAGCGACGAAAACTCGAGCGAAAACTACTCTCGGAATGAGTCTGCAGCGCGGCGAGAGGCCTGCCCGCACCAGGCCGACGTTTCAGTTTCAAATTCAACGTCAAGACGAAACGACAGCAACGAATCACACTCACACAGACGCTGGCTTTTCATTGGGGGGCCGTGCGCAAATGGCGTAACCCCACCGCAAAACCTACCTACTACTCTCGTGGAGGTTTCTGGTTGCGCGACTCGGGCACGGCCCAGCACGGCCCCCCATTGAAAATTTGCAACGTCGATGAAAAACTTGCAAAGGAAACGAGCCGGGGCGCTGCAGGCAAGCAGCCGCGAGGCTAGGAAGGTTAGGTTAGGTTTACCTGGGCCATCGTCGGGGTCCATGTAGAAGCCTGTCAGTGGACAGGCATGCGGCGGGCGTGCAACAGAGATGTGATCAAAAGGATGATGAAATATGAGATATTATGAGTCAGCGTGAGGAGGAAAAGGGGGGGGGGCTAGAGCGCTTGACATAACCTCACTCAAGATGCAACATGTACGGAATCGGCCGGGGACTACGGGGTATGGCGTGCGCAGTAGATGCAGCAACTACACTGTAGGGTGTTCGGTTGCAGTGGAAGATAGAAATTCCAATATTCCGCGTAACAGATAATACTCAAGCCACACAGGACGGAACATGGCGTCAGAAAAAATTGAAAAGAAGTAGTTATTTTCAATTAGAATGGAAATTTTTGAGGAATGAACGTCCCTACACCGTTCACATCCAGGGTGGCATGCTATAGACGACAAGGCAAAACTTTGGTCATGCTTCCAGGCATGCTTTCTCGCACGCGAACTTGCGTAGTTTGAGTTTGATCTTTAAGCTTTACTGTTATCCGTTGAGGAATTTCGTAAAGTGCGGGAAGTCGTGAAACGGTTGTTTGCGTCCGCCCAGGCGGCTACCGCGGCTAACGCTAGTCTGTGCTCCAGTCCTGACTCCAGGTTGTACCTGTCGACGTGGCACAGTGGGCCAGAAGACCGGTAGGGGCGGTCAAAATCTCCAGAGGCTCCACAGTCGCCCAAAGTAGCTCAATGGGACTGAAACCGAACGTTTGATGCCACCAGTAGATTGCTTTCCGAAGGAGAAGTCCATTGGTGGGGTCATACGGTCAGTTCAAGTCCCATTCAGCGACTCTGGAGCTCCAAACGCGTTTAGAGCTTTGGCTGCCTGCGCCGGCCTTCTGGCCCACTGTGCGTGGCGGGGAAGCCTCACCCTTCTTGGCCGACACGATGATGTCCGGCAGCGCGGCGTTTCTGCTGTAGTGTAGGTCCTGCGGGACTTCCCCGCGCCGCCACACGGTCAGGCCCTGCACGGCGGCCAGCCTCCGGTAGACCTGCGCCGCGGACACATTTCAACCAAGTCCCTCCTCCACTGCGAAATGTTGCGCGCACTGAAAGTATGGTCGTATCAGCCAGGATAATCGTTCGCGGGGAAGTTCGTCCTTCCCCGACTTGGCGCGCTTTCCGCGCGGCGTTGGCTTTCCCTGCTGCGCGCGCGGTGCCGGGCGGTGCCAACTGCGGCCGCGAGGGGCGCCACTGTCGCGCAGCGCGCGGGGTATCGACAAGGCCCCGGGCGCGCGGGGTATGGCCGCAGCGTCGCGAGAGGAGGCGCTGGTTCAGCCGGGAGGGTGGCCAACGCTTCGCGCGTCGGTGCGAGATAGGTTGCCCACCCTGCAGGCTGAGCTCAAAAGACGTCTGGGGCTTTGGGCCGCCTCCACCGGTCTCCCGGCACACTGTTTGGCGGCTTGCTCCGCGTTGCTTTCCGTGCAGATACTCACATACTCGACGCGGCCCGGCTTGGCGTAGATGGACACGAAGGCGCCCTGCCCCAGGGCCTGCTCCACGTCCTCGGGGTCCAGGAACTCCCGCAGTCGGATGGGCTCGCCGGGGTCCACGGTGGACATGCCGTGGTCACCGATCAGCACCACGTTCACCTGGACAGCCATCGCGGGGGTACAGTAGAAAGAAAACGCCCTGCCGATGCTCTTGTTTCGAAATTCGTTCCCGACCTTTTCCTTGAGGTTGTTCGCCTCGAGTTTCTGGAACATGCCGGCCAGCAGCTTGCCGATGTCCCCGATGGTGTACTTCATCTCCAGGGAGTCCGGGCCGTAGCGGTGGCCCACGTCGTCGACGTGCTCCGAGTACGTCATGACGAGGTCCATGCCCTTCTCCAGGAAGTCCACGCTGCGCTCCAGCGAGTCTCGCAGGTGCGGAAGGCCGTCCTCGATGTACTCGTAGCCCTGCAGGGCATGGCCAGCATGGTCACATCTAGTCACATGGTCACGTCTAGTCCCATGGTCACATCTAGTCCCATGGTCACATCTAGCCCCATGGTCACATCTAGTCCC